AAAACTAAAACAGTCTAAAATCGGAAATCAAGAACTTGAAATATTGAGGAAACAAAAACTTCTAAAATCGAAAATTAAAAAATCGGATATGTAATTCGAAATCCAAATATTGAAAATTTGAACAATTTAATGAACGAAAAATCATAAAATCGCAACAAACATTAAAAAATAAAAGAAGTGGAAAAATGAAAAATTATGATACAAAATCGCGCAAATGAAAATTAAAAATTTGAAAAATTGGGGAAACGAAAAATCGAAAAATTAGAAATTGAGGAACTGAAAAATGGAAAAATAAAAAATTGTAATATCGAAAAGTTGCAAAATTCAAAAAACTGCAAATCGAAAAATTGAAGAAACGAAAAACTGAACAATTTGGGAGTCGAAAAATTAAAAGAACGAAAATTTATAAAACCGGAATATTGTGATATAAAAAAATTATAAAATCGAAGAAAAAGGAAAAACGAAAAACTCGATTCAATTTCGCGAATTCAATTATTTAAAAAATGTTTGTGTTCGCACCTTTTTCTTAACCTATTCAGATTAAAAAAAAAAAAAACAAGACTAGTTCGTAATTCCCAACCAACAGCCACCAAAGTCAATAACAACAACTATGCCAAGCTCAAGAACAACGCCAACCCATGGTCGTCCCAAAAACTCCCGCGAAATTAAAACAAACACTAAATCACCCATCTGTCAATATTTACATTCTTCCAATTCGAATTCCCGTGCTCCCATGCACCGCCCACGCCTCCAAGAAACAAAGCAAAGCAACAGCGGCGCCAACTTCATAAAAAAAAAAACACACAAAAGCGCAAACAACTCCCCGTTTACGATCACACGCGTCCCATTTTCCACCCGACCTTGACCACCATCATAAAATTGACAAAAATTGGGTCACCTTTGCGTATTCTAAACCAACAATAACAAAAATTCGCAACAGCTGCCAGCCACCTGTAACCTGTAACAGCGCCGATCCTATCAACAAATAAAAAAATGTAGTGGTCGAGTTGGCAAAACTTGACAGGTGTCACACAAGTTAATGAGCGATTAATCCAACCATCCTTGGACAGTATCCTTGATGATAATTAATTTTAATGGGGATTACGTCACTTGTTAGTTTAGTGAACATCGTTTACCTAAGCACATGCGGAGGTCCAAAATTAGGGAAAAATCATACAAAAATGTATGTGTTCTGAGCTGTAAATAAAAAATTTTTACAAAAAAAAATCTCTTGATGATTGTTACTTCCGAGGCATATTGGCGGAACGAGCTCGTTAAAGTGTCGGCAGACAATATCCACGATACTCGCTCCATTTTTATAATAAGACTTCCAAACACACAAACAAATGCGCAAATAACCTTTCAGTAATAGCAATAGAGGAGAAAATATGGCTTTTAGGCCACTCAAGTTTTCGTCGAGTTTTCCACTGGAAAATGTACACAATATACGAGGTACTGTTTTAGGCGTTCTTAACCTATATTAACTGCGTACAACATATTGTAAACGATTTTTTTACAACTCAAAAACGAAAAAAAACACCAATCGTAATAGTCAATAAATAAATACCTTGATAGTGACGTTTTAGTGACAATTTTAATGCACTGCGTTTCCACTACTTGAAAATGTCCAAAGTTTTAAACTCTACATCTGGGCAAAAACATATTACGTATTATATTCTGGATTTTTGTGAAAATTCTTCGATTTTTGCATAATTTCTATACTAGTTTTTCTAAAATATGCAGTTTGATTGTTGGAGACGCAAAAAATGGCTCAATATATCAAAAATGTTATCAAAATTACAATCAATTTAGTTGAATACTACAAAAATTTACATGTTTTAAGTTTCTTCTTGTCGAATTAAGTCTACACATATTAAGAAACAAAGGCAAAATCTAGCCCCGCCCACCCGCCCTATCTCAACTGTGATGATTTTTTTATTCGCCGTGAGCTAAAGGGGCGGAGCTTAATTGCAAAATCCTTATTTCTCTGCAAGAAATAAAAACATATTTTTGAGTATCGTGTTGTTCAAAGAATACTCTGTATATTAAGAAAAAAACACGCCAAAAATTAAGGCCCCACCCATAACCATTCCAAGCTCAATTGTGATGCATTTTTAAAAAAATCACATTTTCAATTTTACGATTTTAGAAATTTTTCGCTTTAATTACTGATTTCCTTACAAAAATTTACCATTTTAAACGTGTTTTAAGATTCTTAGAATAAAAGAATCATCACAATCGCGACAGGGTGGGTGGGCGGGGTTTACATTGTGCCTTTTTTCTTAATTTACATAGTATTTATGAACACACGACACTCAAAAACATGTTTTTAATCTCTTGTAAAGAAATAAATATTTCGCAGTTAAGCCTTGCCCCCTTGGTTCACGGCGAATAAAAAAATCATCACAATTGATGTGAGCGGGCTGACATTTTGCCTTTTTGTATTAATATATGTAGACTTTTTTTCACAACATGAAACTTAAAACATGTGTAAAATGGAAAATTTGTGTAAGGTAATATCGATTTTGTAATTAGGCTCCGCCCCATTATTATCTCAATTGTGATGATTTTTTTTATTCGCCGTGAGCCAAAGGGGCGGAGCTTAATTGCAAAATCCTCATTTCTCTGCAAGAAATAAAAAACATATTTTACTATCGTATTGTTCAAAGAATACTAGGTCTATTAAGAAAAAAACACGCCAAAAATTAAGCCCCTCCCATATCCATTCCAAGCTCAATTGTGATGAATTTTTCATTCATTGTCAGACCAAGGGGCGGAGTCTAATAATTGCAAAATCGATACTTTTCAACAAAAATTTTCCATTATAAACTCTAAAAACAGCAACAAAAATCACGTTAGGAGTTTTAAGTCTAAGATAGTAGCAGAACTTCCCTCGCTCCTGAAGTACACTCCAACAAATATTTGATTTTGCAAATTTTATTACTTTGATGACAAACAGCTAAACTACAAGTTTAGCTTTGTCTAGATAATGCCAACGAGGTTGGCGAAACGCGTTGGCAAATATTTCTACAAGTTAAAAATCACGGCGGATTCATAAGCCACAAGTTTAGGGGTGGGCACGATATTCCTAAATATTTTATTCTAGTTAATGTTCAATTTATTTTGATTTAAAATGCATATGAAAAGGCCGCAGTTTGCATTGTGTTTTCATAATCTGAAAAGAAAAACATTTTTTTTTAAATCACTTGGTTTAAGTCGGTCCAACCCTGATATGAACTGGTTGAACCTATGAAGAGAGATAAAACTTGTTATCTGTTCTATTTCAACTAACACTGTTGGGAGAGAAACCCATTTTGAAGACAATAAGGTCATCTAATCAATTTATCGATTATTCTGTCGAGAACTAACAAAAATTATGTATTTGTTCGTTTTTACGTTAATTAATTTTTTCAAACTTTAGTATCATGTAGAAAATGAAATGTTACATACGTTATAAATTTATAAACATTGGGTTTTTTTGGCTCTATTTTCATTGTTGTCGACACATTTATCTCCATTTTTTCTAATACATACGTACAAAAATCCAAATTTTGGTTCATCTTCCTTCAACTTAAAGAAGAAACTGCTATAAAATTGAAAAAAATATAATTTTTCAAAAATTTAAACTTAAAAGTCAAAATTTTGAAGAATTGGAAAATAGACCCCGTAATTTTAGTGTGAAAATCGTAAAATTTTGTTGGAAGTTGTAGAACTCCAATTACCCAAAAATCTTAGTTATAAAACAGGAATTAAATCTCCTTGAAAAAAAAAAACGTTTCTACTAACCTAAAAACCTTCAAAATTGAAACAGAAAATACAAGCAAGCTCAAAAAAATTCAAATATTCATTAATTTTCTTAATTTGAAAAGAAACTTGAAAAAAAATCACTTGATTTAAATTGGACAAAAATTGCTATGAACCTGTTGACCCTGTTATCTGCTTTATTTTAACTAAAAGTGTTGAAGAAACACACATTGGAGATAATATAGTCATCTAATTAATTTTCCGATTTTGTCAAAAGCTAACACAAATTATTTGTTCTTTCTTACTTAGTTGTCGTGTGTATTTCGTGCAGAATAAAATTTTACGTATTATATACATTATCAATTTATAGACATTGAAATGTTTATGGAGTTCTGCGTCCCACATCTCGAATCGGTTGGACACCGTTATGACGTCACCCGCAGCTATCGCCAATTTAAATTACTATTTTGATTGTTTCATACAAAAATTCAAAATTAAAAAAAAAAAGTGGAATTTTTCAGAACAGGAGTAAAACAAGTTGTACGAAAAATTATTATGTAAATCACAGTACGTAGACAGAAACCCAAAATTGTTTCAAAATCGAAACACAAAATATGCAAGAAAGCTCAGAAATCTTCAAAAATTTGAAAAAATATTCTGATTTTTATACAATGTTGAAACCAGTTGCCATCGGAAATATAGTAATTAACATTATTCCGACGGGAGGGACGTAAAACTTTTCCAGCAACTGTACATTTCAGAACAACGCGCCAATAAAACCAATCAAATGAAAACAAACTCCATCAACAAATCGTCAATATTTGCATTCTCAATTCGATAAACCCTCTGATGCACCGATGCACCGCCGACAATCAGTAAAAAACAAAGTGAAGCAACACAGTCTCGCCACCTTATCAAAAACCCAAGAAAAGCAGCAAACAAGCCCCCGTTTGCGAAAACCAGCCGCCCCATTTCCGCCCGACCTTGACCACCGTCATCAAATTCCCAAAAATTGGGTCACCTCAGCCCGTTCTAAACAACAATAAAAAAAAAAATTCGCAACAGCTGCGAGCCACCTGGAGCCGCCGCCGCTAAATTTAGCGAAAAAAAAGTACAGTCATCGCGACAATGGCAAAACTGACAGGTGTCAAACGTGTTAATGAAACGTCTAAATCGAGGCATCCTTGGGCCGCATCCTTGACAATTATTTTTAATGGGAATTACGCCACTTGTTAGCACCGCAGCAGCGCCTTTACCTAACGACATATGCGGAGGTACGAAATTCGAGAGGCTCCTGCCCCAATTTTGGGCCCCCTGGATGATCGCCGTCACCGACATCATCGGCTTCTCCTTCTTCATCATCTTTATCACAGCGCCTATCACAACCTAGCAATACTTTGGATTCACTCGCACAACTGTGCACACATTTCCGAGCACTCAGCAGCGATAAGGTCCGTATCACATTTTTCCGCGAACGCAACACACACTACAGACGGACCTGTGCGAATTCGTCGGCTCGGAATAAACAAACTCGCGTCTGTGCTCGCCGCCGACCTCGGTCGCACACAGCCTGCTCGTCTGCTGCGAGTGCCGACGACGGCGACGGCGACGGCGATTTCGGCAGGAAGGGGGCGGGCGGGGGGCGGCGGCCCGCCGCGCGATTACTCCACGCTGATTCATTTGGCGCTAAAGCTGACGAAAATATTAACGACGCAAATTTCGGAGGCGGCGAACATCGATTCGCCAAGGTTGCGGGCTCCGTCTGCGTGTGTGTCGGCGTTCGCTTTTTTGCGAGCAACAGTTGGCGGCCGGCGAGGGGCGGCGGTCACGCGAGCCGAGGCATGACGGCGGCCGGGAGCGGCGGACGAGCGCCCAGACGAAATTCGCGCTTTTTGCGGGTGCGTCGGGACGGTTTTTCTTTGTGCGTACATGGTTGGTGTTGGTTGATGCAGTTCAAGGCCGATGGTTTCCGCTGGACTTCGCAAAAACGGTGGATCTCGTGACAGTTTCAAGGACAACCGTGCCCGAAACCAGACTGGTGCAGTTTTGTCTATTACTCACGGCGTGGTGGAATTCCAAACAAAAATAAAGGAGGAGGAACGAAAGCTGGGGGAGATATTGCCGTTCGGTGTTTTGGAAAGGAGAGGGAGGCGCGGTGAGCGATTTTAAACTAGGGCTCCTGTATGTTGTACAAATAGAGGAAACAACTTTTTTACCAATGATTTTCACTGTGTTGTTTCGTTTCTAGGCAAAAAACACAACAAGGCAGTATGTAACTAACCTCATAACCCACTAAATTTTTTAATAATAAACCAACGTCAACGAAAGTTTTTTATAACGGACACAATTATATTTCTTTTTTGTTTTCTTGGCATGTTTTATGTGGCCCTTTTTATTTTATTATTTTTAGTGTTAACAGCCAAGAAATTTAAAATGTCTCGAAATATACGGGGTGATGAAAAAGTCAAGGATATGCTCCGAAAAACTCGAAAAAATGGTTAAAGAGCTCCCACAACCAAATTTTGGAATTATTAAACTTCAAAGTTAAAGTATTAACTTCGTGTTTTAATTTGAATTTAATTTACAGTCTAAAATTCCGATATATGTCAAAAAAAATGAGACTAAATTAAATTATTAATAAATAATTATTTAACTGTCTATTCGACATGGAATTTATTAAAACAAATCAGAATTACGAAGTCAATTCTTCAACTTTGAAGTTTTAATATTTTAAAAAATTTGGTGCAGGTATTTTTTAATCATTTTTTCGGGTTCTTTAGAGCCTTCTTAACAACGTACCATTGAGCTTGTCCGTCGTTTTTTCATCACCCTGTATAAAGGACGTTGAGCATAAAAACTAAAAACTTTTATTTTCAAACATTCAACAACTTAAAAATTATTGCAGGTTTTAAAACGGTAAAGTTCTCTTACAAATGCAATAGAAAACTTCGAATAGTTTTTTTTTCGTAAACGTTAAATTTAAAACATCTTGGTACAAGAAACTGAATTTTTTAATTTCGAAAATAGCAACTTTTCAAAAATTTTGAACTAATATGTTCTAAAGTCTTAAAACTCTTCTTTGGCTCCCACGATGTTAAAAAGTAAACATTTTTATTTCCTAAAATTCAAAAATTTGGAAAAAATTAATAAAGACTCAAATAGTAAACCTGTTTCATTTCAAGTTCAATACGTCATAGAACAAAACTTCAAACGGTGTTTATTTTTAAAAAATATCAAATTAAAAAAAAAAATAAAATCGTTTGTACAAAAATTTTTAAATTTTAAATATCGAAAATAACAAAATTTACGTTCTGAAATCGTATAACTCTTCCTTGGCTCTCACGATGTGAAAACCGAATCTAGATCTTTTGCAGAAATGGTCGACCTGAAAAGCTAGATTCAGAAATCGAAAACTTAAAAACTGCAAATTCTGAATTTTGAAAAATCGAAAAATTAAAAAACGGGGAATTGCAAAAACTAAAAATCGAAAAATTGTAAAATCAAGAAATTAATATTGAACAATAGTAAAACTGAAACATTGTAAAAACAAAAAAATTGTAATATCGAAAAATTGTAGTATTGAAAATCGAAAAAAAAAATCGAAAATCGAAAAATCCAAATATACAACTTAACGATTGTAAAATCGAAAAATGGTAACAATGAATCCAAAATTTCGATCATTAGAAATCGACAAATTGAACTAAAAATCCAAAAGTTGATAATTCCAAAAAATTTTATAATCAACAAATTAAAACATCGAATTATTTAAATATGGATAAATTGGAAACTCGACAAACTGGAAAACAGAAGAATTGAAAAATTTAACATCGAGGAAATGAAAAATTGAAAAATTTTAAAAATGTAAAATCGCAAAATTAAAATACTGAAAAATCTAAAAACTGAAGAACGAAAAATCATAAAAATTTAAAAAATCTAATAATTTAAAATGGAAAAATTGTAAAATTAAAAATGAAAATGTTTCAAATTGAAAAACTGAAAAATCCAAAAGCAGTAAACTTAATTCCAATTTCCTCTTCCAAATTCAAAACGTTGTAGAAGAAACCTTCAAACGGTATTTTTTTCGTGAACGTTAAATTAAAAAAATCCTTTATACAAAAATGTCAATATTTTTTAATTTCACAAACGCAACTTTTAAAAAACTTCGAACTATGTATTATGTTCTAAAGTTTTTAAAACTTTTCTTTGGCTCTCATGGTGTGAAAAACTAACCTAGATATTTTACAAAAATGATCGACGTGAAAAGCTAGATTGAGAAATGAAAACTTAAAACTGCAAAATCTAAATTTTGAAAAATCAAAAAATACAAAATTCTAAGTAGAATCTAAAAGTTGAAATGTAAAAAACTGTAAAATCATTGAATTGTGAAATCAAAACGTTGATAAACTGAAAAACTAAAACCGAAAAATTGAAACATTAAAAACTACAAAAATGCAATTGTAAAAACAAAAAATTGTAATATCGAAAGTGTAGTATTGAAAATCAAAAAATTAAAATCGAAAATCGAAAAATTGAAATGAAATCGAAATATTTGAACAATTTAACGATTGTAAAATTGAAAAATCGTAGCAATGAGTTTAAGCATTAGAACTCGAGAAATTGAAAAATTAAAAATTGAAAAGTTATCATTCTAAAAATTTGAAAATTTGAAAAATCGAGAAATTGAAACTTCGCATCCTTTAAAAATGGATAAATTGGAAAATAAACAAATTGCAAAATTTAACATCGAGTAAATGAAAAAGTAAAAATCGAGACACTCAGAAATCGAAGAATTGAAAAATATAAAAATTGTAAAATTGCAAAATTAAAAAATCTAATCAGATATTTAAAATGGAGATATTGTAAAATCAAAAATGAAAATGTTTAAAACTGAAAAATTGCAAAAAATGCCGGCTTTGAAGCAGTAAAAATCCTTTGTGCAAAAATTTGAATATGTATTTTTTTAATTTCGAAAATACAACTTTAAAAAAATTTCGAACTTTGTAGCTAATCTAGATGCGCAAAAATGTCGAAGTGAAAAGCTAGATTGAGAAATCGAAAACTCAAAAACTGCAAAATCTAGATTTTGAAAAATCGAAAAATAAAAAAAAATCAAGAATCTGAAAGTTGAAATGTGAAAGACTATAAAATCATGAAGTTGAGAAATCAAAAGTTGAAAAACTGAAAAATCGAAAAATTAAAAAACAGGGACTGAAGAACTAAAAATTGAAAAACAGGAAAATCGAGAAATTAAAACTGAAGAATTAAGAAACTGAAACATCAAAAACTGAAAAAATGCAATTGTAAAATCGAAATTTTGAAAAATCTCACAACTGAAAGATTGAAAAAACAAAAAATTGAAAGATGAAAAATCGAGAAATTAAAAAACGGGGACTTTAGAACTAAAAATCGAAAAATTGGAAAATCGAGATATTAAAATTGAAGAATTGAGACACTGAAACATCAAAAACTGAAAAAATGCAATTGTAAAATCGAAATTTTGAAAAATCTCACAATTGAAAGATTGAAAAAACAAAAAATTGTAATATCGAAAAATTGTAGTATGGAAAATCAAACAATTAAAAAATTTAGCATCGAAAAATCCAAAGAATGAATCGAAAAATTAAAACATTAGAAATCCAGAAAATGAATTAAAAATCGAAAAATTGGTAACTCTAAAAATTCTAATTTTGAAAATTCGAGAAATTAAAATTGAAGAATTGAGACACTGAAACATCAAAAACTGAAAAAATGCAATTGTAAAATCGAAATTTTGAAAAATCTCACAATTGAAACGAAAAAACAAAAAATTGTAATATCGAAAAATTGTAGTGTGGAAAATCAAACAATTAAAAAATTTAGAATCGAAAAATCCAAAGAATGAATCGAAAAATGAAATCATTAAAAATCCAGAAAATTCCAGAAATTAAAACATCGAATCATTTGAAAATGGAAAAATTGGAAAATCTATAAAATCGAAAACAGAAAAACTTCAAAATTTCAAAATTGTAAAATCGCAAAATTAGAACACTAAAAAATCTAAAAATTGAAAGATGAAAAATCGAAAAATTTAAAAATCTAATCATTGAAAATTGAAAAATTGTAAATCGAGAAATTTAAATTGAAGAATTGAGAAATTGAAACATCAAAAACTGAAAAAAATTGCAATTGTAAAATCAAAATTTTGAAAAATCTCACAACTGAAAAAACAAAAAATTGTAGTATTGAAAATCGAAAAATTAAAATAAAATAGAAAAATTGGTCTGAAGAGTTTAGACAGTACTTCCCTCGCTGTCGGAAACTTGACGACTGCATGCCTATTGTGTTTTTTTTCTCATTACATTTTTGTAGTGGGAATTTAAAAAAAAAATTGCGATGACGTCATCAACATTTTTGCAAGGACACGTATATCAGTTGGGATAGATGTAGTGTAATACTAAGAATAAAATTATTATATTCTCAAATTTTCGGGAAAATGAATTGGGTCGTTTGAATATTGATTTGTAATAATCAATAAAATAACGAAACAATTTACTCACGTATACCTACGTATCAGAGGCAACTGAAAATCGTGTATGTATAAACATTGTTAATTTAAGATGACAGGCGTAACAGCATACGTGAGAGCCAAACACAGAAACTGTAAACAAAACGACCGTCGGTTTTATTGCTTCGACTTCCGCGTATTATATAAAACATTGGGTTTTATTTTAATTCTTGACGGTGAAATTCACAAGTGGTTGATTATAAACATGTCTATTTCACATTCGCGGAATCAAGTGAACGCATAAAACAAATGCAGGTCTGTAATGTTAAAGTCGATGTAAATAAGCGTGCTACCCTTATGTTTCAACCGAGTTTTTCCTTTAACAAATTTTGTGTCTACCAAATTGGGTTGGTTGGGGTGTAATACTAATAATAAGTGTTGCCTTTAATTTAATCAATAAAATAAATTGACTTCATTAATTTTTTTGAACCACCTCTTAAGAAAATCTAAAAAATATGAATGGAATGATAAATCACAAGTACAAACTCATCATATTTTTTGCATTTTAGATAGGATTTATTCAGCAAATTTAAGGGTGACGTCATCAATTTTTTTAGGAGGGATGAACAAATACATTTTGAACAAAAGTTTACCATGCTTATAATAACTTT